AAGAAGGACCCATACAAAACCAATAGAATACTGGCAATAAAAATTGTTTATGTACCAAGGGCTATTCTGCTTGACACTTAAATGATTGATAACCTTTCAAAGGCTCTGGAAAGATATTGCGGCATTTCTAGAGGCTATTTTATGTTTCTAATCACCTGAGCGGTATTGGTCTACAAATGTCCCTCCACCGACCTTCCCCTCCCCCTCCGCCAACAAACTTGCATCCCCGTCCCTAGTTATATGGAAATATTCTTTTCGAGCGCTGGGAGCTTGTATCAACATGTATATATATGATGAACTGATGAAGGTCTCGGACCGAAACGTTTTTTATTAAACTTTTTAGACTTTTTATTGAGTATATGTCTTCCTTCGCTCGAAGTTGTCCGTCCTCGTGTGTCACACTACTTCTCCCATATATATATATATATAAGAAGCTACAGTTGGACAAGCACACGACTACATGCACATGTAGCTATAACTCATAAACGATGTAGGCTAGATGAATACAGGGTAGAAATGCGTTACAGCTACATTGCCAAACAGATCGATTCATAACACTGAAATTTGTAGGATGTTTCGAGTTCATGTTTTACATCACGGTTAATCTTAGGCTCCAGCATTCTCATTCTTGGTACTCCAGCCGTATTCAGGTAAAAGGATAATTATAAACTATGAAGCAACGAAGTCATACATTTCTACTATCAAAGTAATAAGGTACCATCGCAGGAAAGTCTGTTATGCTACCTGATATACCGGAAGTCCATCGGTAAAGTCTATCTACGATCACGACCACGGTCGCATCGATCGCTCCTTCGTAACACTCGCGCCACCACATAGATTAATGTCTAATTTAGCTGTAGCTTACCACAAATGGCCTCTTTAATATCCTTGCCGACTGGATCCATCGATAGTTCGCTTAAAACGAAAACTAAACTACCAAATTAATGAAAAATACATTGCCTTCTACACCAATAAACAATCGCTTTCTGCACAGTTTCACCGCAGAGTACATTCTATATGTATTATGGGTAAGATTGTTATTTCCTCATACTCAGTCCCGCTCGGTCATTCGTTTCAAGGAAATTAAAAAAATGTTTAGAGCGGCAAATTCTCAGAATTTAACGCTCATAAACATACAAAATGTCGTCTATAGGATCGAAGAATCGTTTGGAACCCTTTTTTGTTTCATCTTGGAGGCCACACTCTAACCAACCAGTGCGATACGGTCATAGCGAATTAGGTTACTTTTCCATAGACGAAGAAAGGCACTTCTTATCAAACAAATGTAAACTTGGAACGTTGCAACTGCCACGGGACTCTGATAGCCTTGACATAGATTTAAACGTGGGATTTGAGCAATGGAGAGAGCTCCCAAATGTTCAGCAACATCTAGATTCCATGCTGCAATGGATTCTACTAAACAAAAAATTGTTGACGAGAACGGGTGACTTCCGTTCGAGCAAGGATGGTGCCAGGTACTTTCACTTAAAAAATGATAGCTTGTATTTCTTAACTGCAGCGATAAAATGATTAGTAAAGCATTTTTCTGCACTCTGAGAGGATGGGAGAAGTTTAACAGCTTCTTTTATTCGTGCCGGCAACTGAAGGGGAGCGCAGTGCAACCCGTGTGAAATGAGTGGAGACGGGAATGGAGAAGTAACCTCCCCTCCTTCTTCTACACAACAGAAGTGTTCTTCTCACCTCGGTATTCACTGCAATAAGATATCATCCGGAGACTTTCTCTTAAAGCTACTTTTTCTTTAATCAGCTCCAAGTAAATATCAACAATAACAACAATAGGACTAACTGATTATCAAACTACGATTAAAGAAAATATACTATTCGATCGGCGGAATAGAATGCCTCTTCGGATTGCTAAACTGATTTCTCGAGTGTCTTTCACGCGAGTGTTGGTCTACTCCGCTAGAGTAAAATCGCTTATCTTACCGGCGCAGTAAACTTTCACCGCGATTTGGAAGATTGACTAAAGGAGATAATCGAGTGAGAGTGTATAGGAAATATTAGTATAAGGAAAGGTTCGAATTGAACTACCATTACAACTTAACGTGAAAATGTATACAGCTGACTTCGGACTAATTCCAGTCCAGTTTTGAAACTCAACATGTCTGGATATTTTAAGTAGATTTATCTAGTTGATGGCAACGGCCTTTTTTTCTTTTTTGCAAAGTTATGCAATAGAAACATTGACTGAGCAAGGGTGACTTAAAGTATTTTTCTTTTTGAGCCCCAATCAATCTTTTCTTCCAGACTGGATGTGGACTTTGTCACATCGCGTGGTAATCTAGCCCGTACCCTTGACATTCAAAACGGAAAAGATGGCAAAGGCCGAAAATGGACTCTTTTGGCTACTAGATACAGAGGAACAGTTTACCTGAGCCACATCGAAGACAATCGAGACGAAGAAATGTCATCCTTTGCTCGAAGAATTTGTTACTGGGGGAAAAGGTTTGAGGTGGAAGTTACTGCACCCCCAGGACAAGACTCACTCCTGGGCTATTCGCGTGGAAACGAAGAGGAACGATACGGTCCCATGAAAGCTTACCCAGGGTTCTTTTCAGTCGTAAGATTTCAATTGGAAGGCCATAAGATTGTGCTAAGAGCTGAAATTGATGCCCAAACGCAAGTGAGTGATTCTGGCGTAGTTTTGGATTATTCTACTTTTCCTAACTTTGGATACTTTAACAAACTAACGCGCGAAGTTACTCTAGGGTTGCTGAAAAAAATTTTCGTTACTTTGAACTACTCAGCTGAAATGTGCTCTTTGTAGAGATTGTTGCACATTTGATTTGTCCAAACGTATAATTATTGGTTGGGATAATCGAAGAGCAGGGTCTTGAAAATGAGGGGATTCGGGCAGGAAACGTCGAGCTCGACCCGAATCAATGGACAGAACTTTCATTTGATTATTTATTGTTAACTACGCAGATTTTGGAAAGAATTATGTGTCGCACCGATTAAAATTCATCGAATAAGTTATTTGAGAGTTTACTTCTGTTCTAATGACTGAATTACTGAATTCTAACCGGTTGCGAAGATTTGAAATAACGAGACAACATCACCGAATTCTTTTCTTTCCCTTGATTCAGGTTCTGGATGAGCTTCAAATTCCAGACTACGTTGAACTCAAAGTTGCGACCGAAACCATCGTGCGGGCTCCTTGGGCCTTCAAACGAAAGAGATTGGTACCCTGGTGGTGTCAATCAATCGTTTCAGGAACGCCTCTTATTGTGTACGGTATCCGAGACTACGATGGTCACGTGAAACGCATCCGGCAGGTGAGAACTGACGAGATACCTGATCACGTGGGACATGAAAATCTTGATAAAGAAAGATGTTTGCTGTTCTTGAGTGATGTGCTGTCTTGGATGAAAGACATCGTGTTAGAAGAGGACGTTACGGAAGTCTACGCCTTTCAATGGGATCCGAACACACCTGCTAATAGCGTGACGGTGAACGTACTGCGTGACGCAGAGGGTGGATTCTTACCTGACTGGTACTTCAATGAGATGGAAGATTATTTTGCGAGTCTTAATCACCAACGACGAAGCAAAGGTCAGAAAAGAAAAATGGAAGACGGAAGGCAAGATTTAGATCGAAATGGAGGAATAAAGGATATGCGCAAACAGCTTGAAGAATCTTGGCCGAGATCGGCAGACTCTGGAAAGTCGAAACCTCAAGAGAAACTGCATTGTGGGGAATCGTCCCAACCCAGATCGCGGAGGTTTTATGACGACAGCGACCGCGATCGCGCGAGAGCAACGCATGTATTTCACGACGCACCTCATAAGGGGCACCGCCCACAAAGAGAATTGTCGCAAAGGGGAGAATTCGAAAGACAACTCCCCCTTCGTCACACTTCAAGCGCAGCGTATGGAAATGATACAGGGCGTGCCGTAGGAACAGAGACGCAACTTGAGTTTGGCAAAACTAGCACTCGTGGTGATCACCGGCCTTCATCGCGGCAGTTTCATAAGAGTGATAGGGAACAAACTGAAAATTCGAGAAGATGTGAAAGACACCGTCGAGAGGGGGAAGATCAAAGACCGCCACGGGCGCGCTCGGTTACGTCGCCCTGTATAGAAACACGTTCCCGTAGATTGGGCGATAAAAGTCATCCTTTTGCTGATGCTGAACGAATATCAGAACAGTCAAGAGTTAAACGAGCCAAGCGAGATCCACATAATCGAGGTTTCAGAAGATTTTAATTTTCATACCGAATCTTCTGAAAAGAACAGTGACATCGAAATCCAGTTACTTGTAAATGATCTTCCAAAAAAAAAAAGGAAAAAACGAAAAAAAAGGGGAGAACAGCACGCGAGGAAATGCAAGATAATGATCATCAGAAAGCAAATTTTTAGTGCATTTAAAGTTTTCACTTTGAATGATATATTATATCAATTTATATATATATATGAGTGTATTTATATATAAGAAGGAACAACTTTGCTAAATCACTGCGATAGCAGGTGTACGTGAATATGGTTATCAAAATGCTTTTGTGTTAAGTTGTGCGGGAACTCTTTAGACCCCCAGTAAACCTCGCGCTCGCCTGATCTTATCGGATTGATGTTTTTGCACACAAAGTTTCAACGGATGAACTAATGAGCACCAAACGGTCTCCACTGAAGCCAAAGAAGCCTTATTCAAGAGGCCCCCGAAAGGGTCCTGAGTCTAGGCCTTTATAGATTATGCTAGTAAAAGTAGCATATTATGCTAGTAGCAATGGCTTTTTTGGGCGAAATTATGCTAAAATTATGCTCTTTTTTCCAAATTATACCCCTTTTTTTTGAAATTATGCTCTTTGAAAAAATTGCAAATAAGTCCAAAAAAACACATTTTTTAACTTGGAAGCGGTTGGCCTACAAGAAAGAAACGCAACAAATCCACAATGAAATTCAAATAAACACGTGGTTCATGTTAACACGCACACTAGTACTAGACTATACATGGCCTGCAATATGACTTCCCGTTCCGGTGCACCCCAGACCCAGGCTCAGACCGTTTCAGACGCCGCTCAGTGATTCACAGTGAACTACAAATGCTACTACTTGAACTAAAACTTAAAACATCGAATAACGTCACCAAGTGCTTGGGAGTAGAGATGAATAATGATCAAATTGATAAAAGCTGATAGTTTCGAAAGAAACTGTTTGGGGCTGCGTCGGTGGGAGTAACGAAATAATTTGGATATATCGACAAAGTTGAAGTGGTAAATTGGCCACCGTAACGATTACAAAAGCTGACGTTTCGAGCGTTAGCCCTTCGTCGGAGCGAATAGAGGAATTGTGGGTTGTGTGTGCTTTTAAAGGGAGAGAATGGAGCTACGTTATTGGTGGGAACATGGCAACGAGAAAAACAAGAATAAATTAATGGAATGAAAAGCGTTCGTTGATCCCTGTGGGATTTAGACTGCCGGTTTGAAAGATGAGCTTTTGTTCAAGATTTTTACGGCTTTCCGTGCTACCTAAGTGTAAGGAAAGACCGCAGATTGCCATATGTTGCTTAGAATGGAGTGAGCTCCTCTCTGGTAGAGGAGGTAGCGCCGATACAGTCGTCGATGTAGCGACCGTAGAGTTCAGGTTTGGACCCGTTGTATTGGCTGAAAAATTGATGTTCGACAAAACCTACAAAAAGATTGGCATAGCTAGGTCCCATTTTGGTGCCCATGGCTACACCATTGGTTTGTTTGAAGAAGTTGTTTCCGAATGAAAAACAATTGAGTGTGAGCACTAGTTCGGCTAAGCGTAGTAGTGTTTCAGATTTAGGTTCCTTAACAGTACGTTGATCAAAAAAATGTTTAAGGGCCAGAAGGCCTTCGCCATTAGGAATGACAGTGTAAAGAGACGTAATATCCATGGTGAAAAGAAGTTTGTTTTGGCCAAGGAAGTTAAAGTCTCGAGAAATTTGAAGAGCGTGTTGGCTGTCTTAAATATATGATGGTAAAGTTTTGAGGATGGGAGCCATAATTTTGTCTAGATAGCTGGAGATAAGTTCGGTAGGGCAACTGCAAGCCGAGACAATGGGCCGACCCGGGTTGTTAGGTTTGTGAATTTTAGGTAAAAAGTAAATACGAGAAGTTCTAGGAGTGGTTATGATGAGTTTTTTCGGTGTGGCCGGCAATTCTTGTTTAGTTGGTTGATCGTATTCTTGACGGAATTTTGATTGCTGGTAGTCAGGTCTTTGTCGACCTTTTGATAAAAGGAGGTGTCAGAAAGTTGCTGCACAGCTTCTTTTTGGTAGACTTCGGTGCGCCAAACAACGACTGAGCCGCCCTTATCGGCCGCTTTTATAACTTTGTTAAGCTTTGATAAGCTTTGTTGCATCAAAAATGATCCGATAATTATCATAATATGCGAATTATGCTAGCACTGCTACTTGGCAGAAATTATGCCAGTTTGCTCAAATTTGCTCAAATTATGCCAAAAATTATCCCACAAGCGCACATTTGATATGAGATGATAGATAGCCAACGAGGCGCCTTGCGCCCTGTTGGCTATAATCATCTCATATATCCAACAAGCACGAGTGGAATAATTGTTTTATTAAAAAAAGGCCCCCAAGATAAACCGGATGTTACCAGGTACATATATTAGATTATGGTATAGTGGCTCATATACCATAATAGCTAAGCCAATTAAAAGTCTTGAATTGCATTATCCAATGATCCAGTTTTTAATAAAAAGGCTTAGTCCTGACAGGGTCCTCTCAGTTTCTCCGCGCGCGAGGACCTTGAAAACGAGGCTACGACTGGTCGGGCACGAAATCAAGACATTTCGTGCAAATTACAGGACATACCACTATTGTTTCTTTGGCCTCTGGTACAGATCTGTGTGTGGACGATGTTTTCGAAGTGCCTAGTTTTTAGCCAGAAGGGCTGTCGTGCTGGGTTTTTTTGGCTTCAGAATGTCCGAAGAGGCTTTGCTGCTTCCTCAGGTATGGTTCTATGTTTTTTTTCGTCACAGATCAGTTTCACTGAACCAATATCTTTTGCCTAGACTGGTTAAAGGGTGGCTAGACGTGCACAAGCTATGGGGGTTGCGCAGCTACAATTCCTTACAATATCAAAAGTAATATCTTTGACAGTGATGAGCATAAAAATAACTCTTGGACTCATGGCAATTTTATATGTAACGAAAGCTCGATTATGTCCTCGTGTAGACGTAGTTGTTGTGAAAGCACTAGCTGCAATCAATATTTAGGCGAACGGTTCAAAGGAAGTTGCGGTCAATTCGAGAAATAAACTAGCCATGAAGTATGCGTTTCCACAAATGAAACAACAATTAAATCGGCAAAATTTGCGGTAATAACACAGACATGACGTATACCGTCCAATTCTATAAGCGTGACCCGAATATTGTCCAATAACATTGTTCAGTTACAGCTGGCATGATAGACTGTCTAATTACACTGTCCAATTATTACAAGCATGATACCTACACTATCCTGTATTTATGTTGGTAATACAGTGCAGCTCAAAGATAAGGGGACACTGTAGACTAGTTCCATATGCTTATCTTTAGGACTGAGTGGAGTCCAATGCAGTCTGCAACAATATAAGTGATAAAAAAAAAAAAAAAATTAATGACCCTGAAGCAAGAGTCTGATTTATTACTTGCAAGTAGGCATGGATGATGCAAAGTCTTGTTATCGATGTAAATCAAAATTATAACAAAATTTAAGAAATAAAATTACCATTGGTTACAGGATTTCAGAAAAAAATAACAGTTAAATTAGTAAAATATGTAACAGCACAGTACAGATGCATGATGCATAGCATCTAATCATACAAGTGTGACAAGAATATTGTCCAACAACCCTGTTCAAAATAGAATCAGAGAGACAGTAAGTTTTGAGCTTGATAAACACTGTTCAGTTACACTCTTCAATTATGAGCATGAGTCGATCTTTCACTTTCCAATTACACAGTTGAATTACCTGCATGATGCTGACACTGTCCGAAATTAATAATTAATGACAATTGGACTAGGAGGAGTCCACTTTGATCTGTAATGATACAAGTGATTGACAAAACTTAAAGCAACACTGAAGCAAAGGGCCTGATCTATTAATCTAGAGTCAGGGCCAGGAGGGACTACTTCAGTCAAATTAAAAGCTCCGACCTGTTTCTTTAAATAAAAGAATGATAAAATGAAAAAGTGGTAGATTAGACAATAAAATGTGATCAAGTGGAAGACTACAATGTAGTCTGTTATGCTATACTTTGCAAATTGTTCACATCAGTGTGATTCAGGGGATTTCTGTAAATTGAATTTTGGAAACAAGGTAACTCTAGCTTTTTCATTTTTGCAATAAAGGGTTATTCCTTGTTAAAATGTGAACTTTCTTTAAGGAAGTGATTATCAGGTATGCAAACTTATCAGGTGGCACTGTTTTTTCCTTGGTTTAAATTTAATTTTTTTTTTTTTTTGGGATTAGAGTTATGGTAATCTATGATACAGTACTAGTGAGTCTGAACCAAAGCGAAAAATAAGACACATAAGGTATGAAATTTAATCAAAAGGGATAAAAGGTTCCATACTACAATTGACACATTGACAGTAAAAAATCATTGTTTGAACTCCTAGGACCTGTACTGCAAAAGACAGCACCTCTTGATCCAGGAGTGGAAATGCCGCAATGTGATTATGAACCTGAACAGTACCAGGTACACTTGACCCTTTTACTTAAATTTACTCCCAAGATGTGATTGTTAATTCTCACCACTAGCTGTTACACATTTCCTTGTAAATTAGTCCTGAGAATTTGGTGTTAGATCTAGATAAAACTTCTCCCTGATAAGTTTAAGTATTCTCATTACCTGTTTGCTGGATAATGTGAAGATATTACAGAGAGAAGTTTCATGTTGATCATTTCAGTGCGTGAAAGGGTTGAATAAATCTCAAACCATGCTTGGCATAATTCAGCTCTCATCATGTTGATTGAGATAAAGGAATAAATTTCTTTTTACCTACAAAGGATGAGCAGCAAATCATATTCTTCAAAGTTGAATGGCAAGTTGAGATAATCATTTCAGAAGGGTCAACTCCTCAAAAAGAAATTTAATACTTTGAAAAGGCCTTGAAGTGAGCCTCCCAGATCGGTATTAGGTTAGTGCTAGAATCATCTGAGCTACATGAACATGTACATGCGTGAGGCCTTTGAGGTAAAAGTTTAGACATTTGGCTTCTTACTCCTTTTGAAGACAAAGTAATCTTTATTTGGCTTTAATTTACTTTTATTAGCCAGTGTTTTGAATTTTAAGAGAACTCATTGGGATCTGTTTGTCTTTTCTTTAAATTGTGTTTGTGTATTGTTCTAATAATTTTATGTGATATGCACGTTGCAACTCTTCTTTAAATCCTTTCGCCCCCAAGATTTTATTTATAATTCTCTTTATTACACAACTCGGGAAGTCAGAGGGCCAATAACTAAAATCAACCAATCAAAATGCTCTATTGCCGGTCAATATTCTCTCAGTATTGGACCGGGCACTGTCCCGAATGGTCCCAAATGATACTGCACTTGTGTCCCTTTGAACTTCAGTCGTATGATATATCTCTTATTAACCAAGCTTGCTTGGGACTGTATTGGAAGAATATCGGCCCTCGGTCTTTTCCTCAGGCTGATATTCTCTCTGTACTGCCCTCACGCTTGGTTAATAAGATATATTTAATGCCTGCCATATAATTCTTAGGATGTTAGTTCAGAGAATTTGTTGTTGGATCAACTATTAGTTTCTCTTTATTCTCATGACTTGTCTACTTGATCTTTAATTGCTATTGTTAGGAGAAATTCTTTCTTGATCACCTAATGTTGTATGTAAGTTAAGGGTTAACTCATGTTGGACTCCCAGAGGTGATCAACACTGAAAATTCTCAATTTTGATATGCTCTCAGGAAGAAATTTTATGAGAATTCATGGAATGAATCAACTGTAGAATATAGCTTTGATATAACTAAAAACTATTAAACAAAATGTGTTTAAATTTGGTGTGATTTATCAGGGCATCTCATTTGAACATGCTAAAGAAGTGAGGAAAACCTACCTGAATCCAGCTTTGTTTTCATATTACAAGGAACCAGTTTTTATTTGCAAGGTACTGTATGTTACAATTTTCCACTGTTATTCCTAAGTCGAGACAGTGTTTTTGTATTTCTGACCACAGCCAACTAATCATGGGCCTTTTTAGAAAAGAAGCTTGCTTGACAAGTCTCATGAAACTCTGTAAAGATGACAAGCACTTTTAGTTATACTGATCAGGAATAAACTTCATCGCCTTATTCAGGAGAATCCTGATTTTGCATTTATGTCAGACATAACAAATGTTGCCTAATGTATGGGGTTTCCAAACTACAGTCACTGTGGAACCCCTCTAAACCAGACCCTTATTAAACCACAATCCTCTCTTTACCGGACCATGTTTTCGGCCCTAAAATCACCAACATACATTTTCTCTATTTAACCTCGGTAAACCAGAAACCCCTCACTTCGGGAAACTGGAACCTTTTTTCAGTCTGTAATCACATACTGACAAAGAAATTGACCGCGTTAAACCGAACATGAAAGTTTTAAGCTTGCCGCCAAAATCAAATCACACATTTTTAAACGTGATTAAAATTAAAATTGTAATCATGCAGCTGTGAAATCCCAATCAGAAGTGAGAAAAGTGTATTGGCTAATTACTCGTTGTTCTATTGGTACTGAAGCAAAAATCCAAAGTTGACAATGGTGCTGCTGTTGTTAGGTTGATTATGAATGACAACAATAGGGGTCAGGTTAATTGTTTGTTCCTTTACTAAAATGTGCTTCATTAGTACTCATGTACCATGTACTGGTAATTACAGTCCGATAATGCATTACTAGTATGTGGCATAAAATTGTCTTATGGGTTAAACCTCAGTACACCGGACACCCTTCTAAACCGGACATTTCCTCCCGTCCCAAGGGCGTCCAGTTTAGAGGGGTTCCTCTGTAGTTTATAAGAAGGTGATTATGGTTTATCAACTGAGTTGATATATAAATTGGCCACAATAAAGCGTTTCAAAGCTGACATTTTGAACATTAGCCCTTCGTCTTTTGCTCTGACAAAGGGTTGATGCTCAAAACGGCAGCTTTGAAACTCTTTATGGTGGCCAATTAAAATTAATGTTAATTGGCCACTGTAAAAAGTTTCAAAGCTGATGTTTTGAGTGATAATTTATCAAGTCAGTTGATAAAACCATTATTGCTTTGTTATACTGATACTCCCCCACCAACTCAGCACCACAGTTTCTTAAATCCCCAAGTTTAATTTTAAGACCTGGATAGTTGATCACCATACAGTAATCTCCCAGAAAAGAATTCTCTCTTTGACGGACAGTCCAGGCATATTGCCCCATGCACTTGGCTGGGGTTCTTTAAGTTCAGTATTTAATACCTAACTACCTTAGAGATGCCTTAGACTTTGTTACATGTTATGATTTTAGGGTCACATGCAGTGGCTTTGGGACAGTGCCGGGAAGAGATACTTAGATTTATTTGCTGGTATTGTGACAGTCAGTGTAGGACATTGTCATCCGTAAGTGAGTTGTTGATCTTAAAAAATTAACTGTGAACTGTAGTCGTGGCTTCTGCTTAGTTACATCTTTTACTCTCAGGCACAACCAAAAACAAAATCATTTTGTTTTTGGTTATGGTTCTTATGATATCCATTTTTTTTTTTTTTTACCATAACTGGCCATAATGTTGCAATCTGATTGACCAATTTGCCGTCGTACATAAGAGTACAGACTATATGCTGCTTGCATCAACGTGTCAGACATGATGTGTCATGCACTGAAAGAATCATTTTACTTAATGTCAATATTCTGAGAAAAAACAAATCAACAGTGAGTCCACGACATTTTGACCACTGCGATGACAAATTAATTGTGGGCTATGACTATAAGAGTACAGACCATGCAAAACCACAGATGATTTGTCAAATTTTTATGCAGAAAGGTGATGGTGTGTGAGGGAAATATGATCGAGGGATCATATCATTTGATTTCTCTGATCTAAAGTTACAAGAAATGTGTGGCAAAGAGTATTGAGAATTCATTTTTAAATCTTGGGAATGAAAGGGTTAACTTAAGGTCATTTCTAGTAAATGTATTAGGATTATACAAAACAATAAATCTTGTTCTTATATATCTCCATGTCTGAACAGTCAGGAAGCAAGAAGCTCTCCAGTTTGGGATAAAAATTTGGCTGATAAAATTTCTGTTACTCTTCAGTCATGTGACGAAAGCTGCTAAAGACCAGCTTGATAAATTGTGGCATACAACAAATATATATTATCACCCAACACTCCATGAATATGCAGAACTTATGGCATCAAAACTTCCTGGAAACCTCAAGGTAAATTGAAACTGAGGTTTGTACATATAGATTATTCAGGTTCAGGAAATACTACATGTCAATGAATGAAGTAATGCCAGAGAATCTGAATACTGACAGTTTGGTAGCTCATTACTTGGTAACGTAGGACTGTATCCTAAGAAATACCAGGTGGTAAAGAAGTAGGAGTCACAAGAGCGTTTGCAGATTTGTAGTTACTAAACAATTTGCAACATCTAACAGTGTGTTTTCACCTAACTTTGTATCATTGAGTGAGTTCTATAACTGTTTGGACTCTCATTGGATTAGATACAGTTCTGTGAGGGGTTGCTGGATTTCCTAAAATGTTAAATATCACACACTTGGTCAATTTATTTTCATGCCATTGACCTGATTACTTTGAAAAGAGTCACAGAGTCAATCAGTGTAACACTGTTTATTCGACTTAGAAGGAGTTAAGTCAGCCAAACCTTTTATTTGCATGCCTTAATCACTTCTGACAGACTCTTCCCTAAAGGCCTGTGTTGTTACAGATAGGAAGATATTGTAGTTTCCTTTGAACAAGGCAGATTGGTAGCTTTCTGGAGTTGCAGTGTAGCTAGTCCTTAGGTAGGGATGATGCATTTTTTTCTGTTGAAGTTACACAGTTTGTGACTATGGTAAATAATCTCATGGATTGATGCTGACCATGAACAATATGTGTCAAAATATCATTGTTGCATGTTTTATTGAGTGGCTTAATGATTATAATCTTCTACCATTGACTATTAAGGTTGTTTTTCCCATTGACTGCAGACAAACAAACAACTGTTTTCGCTTAGAAAGATTATTATCTTTGGGCTTAAGCGGCCCTGAATGCTGTTCAAGCAAACCTGCAAGAATGGCAAGGTCTCGAATTGTTGTGCACAGAAATATGTATGTAAAGTGTATTCATGTATATGTTGTGTAGCACAGTACCAGGGAATCACCTTAACTGACTTGCTATTGTTTTATAATAATTGGGGATCCTCATTTCATTTTAATTTTATATATTTAGTTTTGAATTTGCAGTCAGTTCTTTGTTTTTCCTTAAGGTGTGCTACTGTGTAAACAGTGGTTCAGAAGCTAATGATATTGCTATCATGATGGCAAGAGCTCACACTGGAAACTTTGACTTCCTTTCTCTCAGGTAAACTGCAGAGTGATAATTAAACCCTTTAATGACTAATTAAACCCTTTAACTCCCCAGATCTGATTATTTACTCCCCCCTCTAGCTGCTACACGTTTCCTTGTTAATTAGTTATGAGAATTTAGTGTTAGATCAAGAGAACACCTCTACCTGATGAGATTCAATCTTCTCACACCTGTTTACCAGATAATGTTTGGATATTGTATGGAGAAGTTACTTGCTAATCACTCCTGGGAGTTGAATGGTTATAAGGGGAGACCTAGCATTTAGAAATGTTTTTCCTTTTAAACCCACATCATGATGATAATACTAATTTTCTTGCCAATGTCTTCAGCCATACAACGAATGCAAATATGGCATACAATTTGAATTGCCATTGTTCTGGACTGACTAGCCTCATCTTCACCTGGAAATACAAAAGGATTATTACATGTGTGAGAGGCTAGTCAGTCCAGAACAATGGCAACTCAAATTGGACGCCATATTTGCATTCGGTGTATGCTACTTGCTAACTAGGGACATATATGAAACCCAAACTAAATATCCTGGTGCGTACAATCTGTGTATTTATTGATTTAAATGGAATCGAAATGAGGAGTATTTATTTGATTTCTTTTCTTGGCTTCATATTAGAAATGCATATCATGGTGCCAGTCCATACACTCTGGGGATCCTCGCTCACAGCACATGGAAACTCAATGTCCCAGTAGGATTTGGATATTTTCAGGTAAACATAAGCTTTCATGTATGTTGTAATTGACAATGTCTGCAGTTTTGTTTCAATGTCATGATTCTCAAGTCTTTTTGCTTAGCTTGGTGATAATATTTCAAATGCTTATCTCCCCAGACCATGAACCCAGATGTTTACCAAGGACCATGGGGTGGAGCTAATTGTCGTAACTCAGTAGCGCAGGTTGGTGGAAATTATAGCAGCCTTTGTAACCTTTTTTTTGTTTTTCACTCAATCATTTTTTCATTTTTCATTCCTGTTCAATTCAAACATACATTCATCCATCCATCCATCCATTGACCATCAATTCATTTATTCATTCATTCATTCAATCTTTCGTTTTCTCGTTAAATCTACTCTTTTATTTATTTATCTCTAAACTTATTAATATACTTATTCATTTATTGACAGACGGACAGAACATGCAATTGTGCAGCAGGTAAATTTTCTTGAACTGAAAAAAAGTCTATCAAGAGACATTTCTGAGGAGCTTTTTCATTTTCAATGAAATGATGTGGAAAACACTATCTAACCAATGCATTTGTATCAATTAAGGTCAGTGTATGGCGTCCAAGATGTATGTTGATCAGTTGAAAGATGTCCTGGTGCATTCGACTTCAAAAAAGGTTGCAGGATTTATTGCTGAACCAATTCAGGTCAGAATACTGTCGTGCAGATGATTTAAATTTTCCCAGTTTCTGAGTCGTTTACGAATTTTCTTGACGTAAGAAAATTTTGTTCGGATGACGTAGATGCGTGTGGAATCCATCGCCTTATTTGATTGGTTGATGTCCGTTCTCTATAAAAATCACGTCATCAGTAGAAAATTGTTGAACATTTCAGACTTTTCTTGAGCACGCAACGAATGTGAGGGAATGAGTTCAGCGACGATTTACTCATGTGAGACATTCTTCTGATCTCTTCCGTAGGGTGTTGGAGGTTCCGTTCAGCTTCCCAAAGGTTTCCTGAAGGGTGCATACGAGCTTATACGCGAAAGAGGTGGTGTGTGCATATCAGACGAGGTACAGTGTAACTTTTATTTCTTCACAACGTATGCGTTTCGTCTAGCCAATACTTTACGAGAAACGTGTAACTCTTATAATTTTTTTATTCTTAGGTTCAGACTGGGTTTGGTCGTCTTGGTAGCCATTACTGGGGTTTTGAAACCCAGGGTGTTGTACCAGATATCGGTATGAAAAAAAAAAAGTAATTCTTTTACTGCAATTTTTTTGCCTTTTCCGTCCCTGTTACAATTTTAGTCAACTTTTCAGAAAATTTTCTGTTGTCTATATTGTAATTGGAACTCAGGATGTTTTCCTAGAACGCTTTACTCTTCGTATGGGGTGCAAAAACCCCCTTGTTTTGCATTGGATTTACAACTCTTTTTCCATCCAACTAGTGACAATGGCGAAAGGTATTGGAAACGGTTTCCCTATGGCTGCTGTCATAACAACGCCAGGTAGGATTGGCATATTTTTGCCTGCATTATTTCAGCCAGAAATCTGGAATTTTTGCCCCTCTTACCGCTAATTTTCAAGGCCAAGTAAATTTAAAATTTGGTGTTTGTGTTTCTTGTTTCCTCAGAAATTGCCCACAGTTTTGCGCAAGCCGTTCATTTCAACACATTTGGAGGAAACCCTGTGGCTTCAGCAGTAGGAAAAGCTGTACTGGAGGTACTAACTCATCAAGCGTTTCAATCTACGTCTGTTTTCGCTCTAGTTCCAATGAATAATTTACTCTTATAGGTTAATAATTAGTTGAGTTTTTAAATTCTGATTGGTCAGATATGTGCCGCGGTCGGTGGCTCCGCAGTTTTCCCGCCATTGAATGATACTTGTGCAGCGCACGCTGCTGGATTTATTGGAGAATCGAAGGGTCGATGTTCACCTCAACACGTTTTCTTCATTTTTCTTTGTTGTAATTAGTCTTAAGCCAATTTGTTCAGCACCTGACCAACTATTTCTTTTCGAAGGCTATTGATGAAGACGGTGTGCAAAAGAACTGTGAGGTCGTGGGAACTTACTTCCTAGAAGAACTGCTTCAGCTTAAGAAAGAGTTCCCGGATGTAATCGGTGACGTCAGAGGAAAGGGTTTGATGATCGGCGTTGAATTTGTCACAGATAAGGTGAGTGTTGAAATTATTCTCCGTTATTTGAGTGGGAATACGCATTATGCTGTAGTCTGAAACATTTAAGAAACACGAAAATCGTTTTAATTTCTTAGGAATCAAAGACACCTTTGCCTCCCGAGAAATTCGTCCCGATCTGGGAAGATTGTAAGGATATGGGAGTTCTCGTCGGCAAGGGTGGACTCCATGGAAACGTAAGTACTTAATAAAGAGATATTACTGTTATCACGGCCCTTTGATAATTCTGCTTTGTTTCCACTAGACGATTATCACTCTCGTTACAAGCTGCGAAGCTGATTAGAATTCAATGAATACTTTGGTACACAGCGGCTGTCTCGGTCTTTTTTCTTGAATTCTTGGCATCTGTTGTATCGCAGCGAAGTTCATTTTGTTTCCTGCACTCACGCACTTACATGTCTTGCGCACTGGGAAAAGTACGTCTCTCGAGGTTTAAATCAATTTTTTTTCCTTTTTTATCTGTATGAAAGAATACAGATCAAATTTGGTTTTCAACCGGAGGGTGTTTTAGTAGATCCCTGGGCTTGAATAAAAATATTTTTTTCCCCTTAGGTGATGCGTATTAAGCCCCCCATGTGCATAACCAAAGAAGATGTCGACTTCGGAGTTGCAGTTCTCCGTACGGCCTTGTCCAAGTACTCTTGTGGCAGATAAATCACAACCGTTGGACCTTTTGCGAATACTGTTAGCACCAGTAGTACCTCGGGACGGGTTGACATTCCCCACCAATTTCAAAGCAAGCTTACGTTCGCAGTACAGAATATAAAAACAACACCGTTGAAGTATCCTATTGAACGATAATGTTGTAAAACTAGTTTTTAAAGAAAATTTGGGAATGAAAATCCTGATGTCCAGTGACACAAGGCATTTTGATCGCATTGGTAATCAGTGGGTCCGGGTTTTTTTTTTTCTTTTTTTTTTCAAAAAATCAATTTCAGGGATATAGACCTAAAATTAATTTTTAACCCTTTAACTCCCTGGAAATTATTAACATGTTACTTCTCCCTATATTATCCAGACAATATCCAGCAAACAGGTAATGAGAATACGCAGGCTTATCAGGTAGAAGTGGTTATGTTGATGTAACACTTCTCGCAACTAAGTGACACGTCAATGTGTCGCAACTAAGTGACACGTCAATGTGTAGCAGCTAGAGGGGAGAGCTGACATTCAGATCATGGGAGCTGTAGGGTTAAATGCCTATAAATGTATGGCGATTTATCTCACAAAGTTTTTTACCTACGCATGGTCTCAATGTAAGGGAATCAATAAAGAACATTAGATCTATCGCACAGGCGTTGCCTCTCTTATTGCTGTTTTCGCATCCATCATATTGTATCTACATAGATCTTCTCTTGATGCGCAGCATTCTTCTAAAGAACGGTGCAATAAGCAAGCTGGATAATTTAGGGCTGATCGAATGATTTCCCGATTCATTTTTCGGCTTGTGAGGGAGGAAGAAAAGGTATCAGGGAGCTGTTGCGGAGACCTGAGGTCCAGTCTGCTGGTCACATTATGATTGTTAATCTCACGTCAGCGGTCCATTGTAGGGCGTGCGCAGATGGATTAAGTTTGACCAGCCGCTCGCGAGTCCTTTTCCCGCGCAAAATTTTAAAGGATGGAAAACATAGTCCTGTAAAAACCTATAACATTAATTAAACGAAAGATCATGACAATTTCCAATAGAATTTTAATATCTGGGTTAAATTTCACACTTGTAATATTACATAACAGTTGTGGGGTTTTCAGCCTTCTGCCATAACTGCTTTGATTATTTACAAAATTAAGCTGTGACGAACGTTGACTTTATGGACATTGACCGCAGCATCAAGTCTTTATATGTATATTCTGTAAAGCGCAACCAAGATTACGGGCTAAATCAATACTGAGTCCCTAATAAAGACATGGCCAAGCTTATCGTTTGATCACACTTCACACTTATCATACAATTAAAAAAGATATATCTTTACCAATGGTCTAAGATATTAATCCATCTCTCGCCAACGAGAGAGCTGCATATCTTCGTCATCATATAAATACGCACACAACTTCGGCAATGCGCTTGCTATGTATCAAATGAGAATATTTATATATTAATAGATCACTCTTTAAGAACTTAAACAGAATATGAAGCTAAACAAATCTTTCTTTTTCTAATCAAATTTTTACTCTAACGTCTCAAGGACAACATATTCTGACTTGACGTTAATCTTGCGTGACACCACGGTGCAGATAGTTCAGTCACTAAGTTCGCTATCTTTGTTTCCTTAGCGGGGGTACAAGAGGCTTGATAAGTCCGTCCCCAGGGGGAGGGGGCACTCCCATGTAACGCTCTGCAGGTGACCGGGGAGCTGTAGGTAAAGAATCTTCATCATCTGACTGTACTGATAGGTGTTGATCAAAGTCTCCGAGAATGTCGTCGATATTCAACTCCCCCGATCCATAGGACAGAGTTGAAGGTATCAAATCCAAATCGTAATCATCTTGACTTGAGAGGGGTAGTGTTGGGGGTGGCAAACTCGGCGGGGGAGGGGGAACAATTGCAAGATCAAAGTCCGCTAAATCGTTGCTTTTCTGAGAACCTCTCTTGAGCCCAGTGTCCGACTTCCGTGAGTAAGACAAAATGTTTATGTTGTTGTTATCAGCTGCTTCTTCCCAGCTTAACGGCGGAATTAAAGTCTGAAGACTGAAGTCTACAGTTCCTGCATCGCTGTTATCGTCAAATTCTTTGAAATGCATCGGTGGCGGAGGGACGATTTTCAAATCCAAGGAATCCAGGCTTGTTTTTGAAGCAGATCGTTCAGATCTGCCATCCAAGTACTCAACAGGGGGTGGCGGTGTAACTATGAAGCTATCTGTACCGTTCTGAGTCCCAGATATTTCGCGGTCGGACGTGACCGAACCAGACGTGACTCCATTAAGTCTGGTGAAGAGAGATGACGACAATGACGGCGGTGGGGGTTTAAAGTTTGGCGGTCCAATGTCCACTCGTTCCTGGAATGGTTTGGGGCCGACAAGAGGTTTAGGAGCCAAAGTGGGCTTGGACGGTAACGGACCGTTTGTATCTCGAGTTGGGATTTCATTTTTGTCAAAGCGATCTGGCCCACCATTAACTTCCAAACCAGAATTCTGAAGGCTAGCTTCAACCGCAGAAGTTGATGCTTTGATAACGTCATCTTTTACAGCGTCAGCTATGGAGGATACCCTTGGAGGAGGCGGTGGCTTAAATTGTGACGGCCTGCTTAGTTGAGGTGACGAAGAATTTGATGACGGTGGAGAATTGAGAAGTTTAGCAGAAGAGAGTGTTGGCGAACCAGGAACAATGACAGGGAACTTAGGGGAAAACGGAGTCGCTGGCGATTGGAGCCTTTCTTCTTCCGACGTGACAATTTTACTCGGAAAACTATCTTGGATAGTTTTCGGTCGAAAAGGAGCAGGTTTAGGCGGCGGGCCACTGACATTTGTTTCATCTGCCACAACGTCTTTCTTTTTGTACGGAAGTGGTTTGGCAGGAGCTTGACGTTTTCCATCGTCCATTTTGGCCAGGAAGTCAGCAACGACATCCCTCGTGAAGTACGCCTCCACTTCGGGCATCGAACAAGTATTGACAACTTCGGAATATGGACTTTCATTGCGACGAAGTTCTCCAACTTCTGCATAATCCGGATCCACTTTAGGCAAACTTACATCACGTGTAGGCGGCGATGGGCGCCTTTCCCTGTAAGGGCTGGGAGGTGCTGGGGGCATATTTTTTCTGCTAACAATGCGATTATGGGGCGGTGGTGGCGGGGGTGAGGGCTTTTCCTGAGCAAGTGGTTTTACCATAGGTTTAACAGTTCGAGGTTCGACGACTTCGTAAGGATTTTCGTCACCTACCGGTGTGCTTTCGTCTGAAGTCGTGTTGAATTTTGACGAGTCAAAAGGACCAAGTTGGGGTGAAGCTTGAAGGGAACCGCTGCTTTCCGCTGAAGCTGGGGATGTAGGCGGTGACTTAGTAATTAGCGATATGTCTTCCTGTGTATAATAACGATCAGGAATAGCTGGAGACTCATACGAGTGGATCTCTTCTTTGTTTGGATTGTCATTTACACTAGGAGCATTTGGAGTTTCCTCGCTGAAAAACGACTTGGGCTTTTTCCGAGTCATATCCGGTTTGGCGTAACTTGGCATTTCCGGTCCAGACCCTTCAAATACTAATAGCATACCTCTCACTCCCTTACTCGGAGACGTTCTTCTCTTCGAATCATTATCGTCATTCCCTTCTGTCTCGAGCTTCTTTGGAGCCACTTTACCGGCATTCTCGTCAGCTCCGCTCATTTCAATTTTTCCAGCAGCACTTACAGGTTTTAGTGAAACCGGTTTCGCAGGTTTCGAACTCGGTTTTGGTGGCTCTGGTTTACTGAGTTTTGGAGCCGATATTTTTACAGGGTTTTGGGTCGCGTTCGTCTGCGGTGATTTTGGCTTAGGGGGAGGTTCAGGTTTCGGTTTAGCGACCACCGGGGCTTTTGCAGGCTCTAAAACAACCTTTGGAGTTTCATGCTCAGGAAGCGATGTACTGACATCCACCACCGTCCAAAGAGGTTCTTCACTCGGTTGCATATCCACGGGCTTCACGACTGAGTTAGGTAAGGCTACTCGAGAAGAAGAAGGCGAGTTAGGTGATGCTTCGCGAGGGGAAGAAGGCGAGTTAGGTGATGCTACTCGAGAGGAAGCAGCCGGGTTAGGTGATGCTACGCGAGGGGAAGAAGGCGAGTTAGGTGATGCTACTCGAGGGGAAAAAGGTGGCTTAGGTGATGCTTCGCGAGGGGAAGAAGGCGAGCTAAATACATTGTCATTGCTCTGTTCCCTGCTTATACGGCGTTTCTTGAAGCTTTCTTGAAGTTCATCTTTGGGTTCGAAATCAGGGTCACTCATACTTCGTTCTCTAGAGCTTTTGAGTTGTTTGGTGCGTTCCTAGATAAAATAAAAGTAGAGTGTGAGTGTTATTTAGAGGACACAACAAACCGCTTAGTTAAGAACAAATAACTGTAAACAGTAGATTAGGAAACACCTGACATGCAATCGGGGCTTTATCTTTGACTTTCATTCTCCAAAAATACAATGAATAAAATGTAAATAAAAATCATTTAAATAAGCAAACAAGGTAATGTAAACAATAACAAATGAGAATATAAATGAATAAATAAACAATGTATAGACTGATTTTGGAATACCATATTTAACAGAAGCATCATACACCTGAAATAACACGAGTGACCATGAAAGTGATGGAGATGAAATAGAAACAAAACCAAAATGATAATCAAATATACAAACGAACAGACAAGTAATCATATTGGTCTGCAGTGCTGTTGGAGGTAAGAAAGAAACACAAGCAGGATGAAGTACGCAGCGAAAAGAAAAAGACCCTGTGTCATATTTGGAAAGGATTTAACAGAAAAGGGAGGGGGGAAAATCAGACCATACTTCTCTTTGCTTCTCTCTTTTGGCTTGTTCTTCCTTCAGCTTCTGTTTCGATACGTTTTCTGCATGTGCTCTCTACATAAGAATCAAAACACAACTATGAATAAGTAATAAGAAAGAGTTAACACCACATGTATACCGCGGACGAATTCCACGGCATTAAAGAAACAAAGTAATCCGCGATTTTCTGGTTCAGAAAACTCGTACCACTCTCTCTCATCCAATTAGATGCAAAACTTAAACCAATCATGACTTGGTCGCCCGCGTTTTCACGCGCTTTAAGCGGTCTGCTGTTTTTACTTTAAGTTCTGATTGGCTCTTCAGGTATTTTCCTTTCCTCTGATTGGCCATTGTGATAACTGTGGTTTTGGTTTTACAACACTCACTCGAAAAGCGCTCTTACAGCAAATTCATACAATGTTCTTCAGAAACGAAGAGGTACACAACAGAATCACTCACCGTGAAGTTCATAATAAACGCTGCAAAAATACCAAAGAAATCCTCTGTAGTTGCCGAAGTGGGTTTCTCTCCAAAGAACTTCACTGTTTCTCGGAACTCTTTGGTGCACTTTTCTTGCAGGCTGAGCAGATCATTCAATTCCCCTTCTGTTTCGTCTATAATGTTCTGAAGGTTCAGATCAAAGACAACAATTTAGACCTGGCTAAAACCATTTAAGGAAGTGGTGCACTTACCGTCGCCAAAGATTCTATTAAGCGTCAGCGTTTTTGATTCTATTCCAGCTAAATTTTGAAAATGGCAGTTCAAAAATGCGGTGTGACAGTAAAGGTCTGAGGAAACTTTTCTAGAGACACATCCCATCTACAGGAATTTCTTGTCTCTAATTGCTCCCTTGCCAATTCAGTTTGGTCATTTTCCGGTTGAACATAGTTGTCAATTTGATTTATATATCTTTCGATACAACCATTCACTGCTTGCAACTCAGATGAATCGCGAAGTGATGGCTTTCGCGGAAGAAACTGTAGTCCGCCAAATCAGCTGAATATTGAACTAAATGTTAAGAGAACAAACATGAAAGGGAAAAAAGCTTGTAAAAATACTGTAAACCGCGTTGAAAGCGGAAAAATAAGCGCAGCTAAAATGCACGCAAAATCTCTAAACTAAATAGACGTTGACAGTGGAAACGAAATGGATGATTAACTCACCTTGACCGCAAGTGAAAACTTATCGTTTGAATCTTGTGACTTCAGTGATCGGAAAGCTCCAAGGTCTGACTTAAGCTCCTTGAGAAACATGTACCAAAGCATTTAATGATTGATGGATTGCTATAAAACAGCTCTCTCCTTTGTCGTTTTGAGACATTTTACTTAGAATTTGCAAGCTCGTTAAAACAGGACAAAAACAATAAACAAATCAATAAACAAACCTTCATTCCCTCAGCTAGTTCTTCCACTTCACAAGCCACCATTTGCCCCGAAACTAGAAGAACAGAATAAAAAGTGAAATTTCATCCACGAGCCACACGCAATAACACTATTTCAAAGCGTACATAAACATGAATTTGGTTACTCGTGCGTTCTAGTGCTTCAGTTGCTTGTTTTTTCAACTCTTTCTCCAGGTCCTTGCGATAATTTACTTCGTTCTGATTGGCCGTTCTAATCATCTTGAATTTGGACGTGTAAATCAAGTGAGGCCAGGTACGCTACGATAATTTAGTTTTCCAGGCTTTCGCCGATCTACGGCATCATCAGGGAATGCAGATGGAATCTTTGAAGCGAAGAATGTGTCGGGCGAGGAGTTAGGCTAGATATAGAGGTTCAGCAGACAATAGGACAGGACAACGGCTCGGAAAACTAAATTATCGTAGCATACCTGGCCTCGCTTGATTAACACGTCTGACTTAACGACACTATGCTACTCGAGGACAACATCCAACGCTTGATCTTGAATTTGGTTCCACAAAAATTACTCAAGTAGGCTTTGAAGCGTACCTTTCGCTGCTGTGGGCACTGTGCTGAGTTCTTCTTTGATGTTCAACACTTCAGGGCACTTTGACTCGATGGATTGAACCAAAAAGTGCAGCAAAGTGGATTTGTTATCGGAAGTTTTAGTGTTGCTGAGCTGTACCGAATGAATGAGAGAAAAATAGCGTTAATATGGAACGCTGTGTAGGAAAAACATCAATAACGACGAGAACAAATTACAAAAGACTTCAAAGATTTCCTGAGCTGGATAAGTTTTGTTAACTACCTTATCCTTTTCAGCAAGATAGAGGCTTTAAAAAATAATGGCGGGTTAAAAGGGTAATTATTGACTTTCGAAGACCACAGTAGCAAAGGTAATGTACCTTGTTCAAGTACTCGATCTTGAATGCAGCGGCTGATCCTATCCTATTATTTCCCTTGTTCATGTAATTACCCATTGCTAGAACAAGCTGAAATCAATCAAACATTCAGTCAATTCATCAGTCAGTAATGAACTACCAGATGGACAGACAGACAGATAGACAGACACAGACTGACAGACAGTCAGACAGATAGACAGAAAGGCTGACAGACAGACTGACAAAACACTTAGACAGACTGCCAGACAGTCAGTCAGACAGATAGACAGAGAGGCTGACAGACAGACTGACAAAACACTTAGACAGACTGCCAGACAGTCAGACAGATAGGCTGACAGACAGACTGACAAACACATAGACAGGCTGACAGACAGACAGACAGATAGGAAGGCTGACAGACAGACAAACACATTGACAGACTGACAGACAGGCCGACAGACAGACAGACAGACAGATAGAAAGGCTGACAGACAGACAGACTGACAAACACATAGACAGGCTGACACAGACTGACACAGTCAGACAGATAGAAAGGCTGACAGACAGACTGACAGACAGTCAGAAAGGCTGACAGACAGACAGACAGACAGACAGACAGACAGATAGGAAGGCTGACAGACAGACAAACACATTGACAGACTGACAGACAGGCCGACAGACAGACAGACAGACAGATAGAAAGGCTGACAGACAGACAGACTGACAAACACATAGACAGGCTGACACAGACTGACACAGTCAGACAGATAGAAAGGCTGACAGACAGACTGACAAACACAGACAGACTGACAGACAGGCCGACAGACTGAAAGACAGTCAGACAGACTGACAGACAGATAAACAGACAGGCTGACAGACAGATAAACATACAGACATGCAGACAGACAGATCGACTGACAGACAAACTGAGAGACAGACCGATAGATAGAAAAACAGACAGCTGCACACGATCTCCTCTCTACAAGAATCACCCTAGAGAAAAAAATCTAACCTAACTTAACCTCCCTTGTTCCTTCAAGACCTATTCCTACTTTATTGGCGATTGATAACGTGGGCGAAATTTCATTTTCAAGTGTCCCTGTAAACTATTCGTAAAGACAACTTTCCATGGTGCCAAAACAACTCAGTTGCCTTAAAAAGATTACCAACAACAACAAAATATCTTTCTAAAACGCGAAAAAAGCTTATCATGGATGTGTTATCAAAATAGTATGAAATCATACCTCTAGGATCCTCTTTAGTTTTGGACTATTTCTAAGTTCTCCAGATGCATCGAGAACTGACTCTAAATCCTAAAAAGTAATAATATCAACAATATTTAATAGTAATAATAACGATAATAATAATAATGGTAAAAATAGTAATGATGATGATGATAATAATAATAAGAAGAAAAATGATGATAATAATTAATAAAAGTTATAATGATTGCATGGAAGAAAAGGAAACCGGAATAGAATAATGTTCGTGTTAGTTTCGCTATGTGAAACTTAAATTAAGGGCTCAGTTACCCTTCTTTCTGCCTTCAATTAGGGCTAAATGTTCCACGCCTTACCGGTTTAATTTCTTCCACTTTGTCAGCAAAACGAGCCTTAAAGAGCAATGCTTTCAGTCTTTGTTTGTACCAAGACACTTTACTCATCTGCAGAAAAGAATTTTAAACAAACAAAAAAGACATAAATTACACTGAAATAAGACCACCACAAAAACAGAGGTCTCAGCACTGTTAAAAAATCTTTATATGAAACCTTCCACTCAGCAAAATCGCCATCTCGATATTTCGTCTACATTCCAGGTGTAAAAATATAAAACTAAGAAAAGGTGTTGTGCGCAAGAACTGATACACGTACCTAATCTTAGTCCATTACCGTAACTGCACGTACCTCGTAACAAAACCTGTCTGCTTTGTCCAACTTAGAAACATCGTCCGCAAAGTATTTAAACTTCTGGAGCTGGGAAGGAAAAAATGGAAAACATTTTAGTTAACGGAACGAGACCCTTAATGAATCGACCCTCACAACTTCATGTAACTGTGTGCTCATTCAGCTTCATTTACTCATGCGCTTGGACTTACACAAGCACTTTGAGCAACGAAAGCGATTTGAGACTCAAGATCCGACTCCGAACAAGTTTGTTGTTTGCACTTAATGAAAGTGACGTTACAAAACGTCGCACCCAACACGGAAGCTTTCCTTACCTCTTTGCTGTCAGGTGCATAGAGAAGAAGCTGTTTCAAATGGGCCTCGCTGAACTTCTTATCGTCCATCGACAGGAGCGCTTGTTTTATATCTTCGAATGGCATTTTCAAGTGACCCAACAAAATTGCTGCAAAGTGGAACAAAGAACGTCTTTAAATGGTAAATTTTACCAACCTGGACCGTGTGGTTCACACGGCAGAAGGAACATATCCCAGTTTCCGTAGCACTGAGTGAATAAAAGTACAGCTGTTACTCCTCGAAGAGCAGCTCGTCTTTCCCAGATTCCTCGAAGCATTTCATACGTTTATCGTAACCTATTCGTGATATTAGGAGGAGAGCAGGTGGAGAAAAGCACTGCGACAGTGATGTGTTGTGATCAAAAACATCATAAAAATGATTTCGTCCACGTTCAGCCCAGACCTTTGTATCCGTTTCCTAAGCACTGTGGTTTGCGAAAAAGCTCTCCTCCTCGAACCGAAAGCGAAGCAAATTGCGAGAAGTGCCAGAGCCATTGAAAGCAAACGAGTTTGCGACGCGTCGTTCGCCAATTCGAAAAGGACGCCTTGCTCGTACTCTAAGCGCGCTAAATAATGTTACATATTGCGCGTAAAACAGCGAAAACGTCTCACATGCGAAAACGCTTGATCTCAGAAAGAGAATTTATATTTCTTGTTACGTACCGATGTTGTAGGTTTTCTTTGGATTCATCACTTGTGGTTTCTCGGGCTTCTTCTCATCTTTACCTTAAAAAGAAAAAAGTGTTACAATTTGGTGAACAAAACGGCTACAAACTCAACTCAAGGAATGTTGTTACGAGCTATCAAACTCACTTGATACTTTTTGTATGGCACTGAAACTTTGCTCAAGTTGAATGAACTCGATGACTTCTTCTGACGGCTCGTTTTGTCCCAACTGAAATCCAAACAAAGAGAAAGAGAAAATTAGTCAATGGGGAAAGCTGCAATGGTATACTTTGCTAAGGGTCGCTTCAGACGAATTTGACATGGCAGTGGAACAGCGCCTGATTCAAATTGCCATTCCTGATGACAACCGTACCAGATGAAGACAAAACACTTTACAAGACGTATGGCCTATTATCATGTGACTCAAACTGAAAATCTAAGGCAAAAATACTGATACTTTAAAAGACTGCTTAGAAGTAAAATCCATACCTTAGCCCAAACAGTGTCTTCTAAACCAGCAATACTCAGTTTCTCCCAGTTCACTCTCTTCAATTGCATTTGAGCGGGAACGTTTCCAGGACCCCCAACAGGGGGAGGAGGAGGGATAGATGGTGGGGGAGGAGGCGGTGGCGGCGGAGGTGGAGGTGCTCCCATGGGGGGAGGAGGTGGGGGAGGAGCGGCACTTGTGCTTGCGACATCCTGGGTTCCTTGGGAAAAGCAAACGAGTTTGGATTAGTCTAAAAACTAGCACAAAGAAAATCTTGCATTCATGTATTTAAGACTTTGAGAGAATTGCAAAGATATGACTTATTAGTAAATTAACAGCATGGTAAGGAAATAAAAATGATTTTAATCATGCATTATTAAAATCAAGCGGTTAAGCTAAGTTTTGCCCATTTGGTTTCCAAGTACGTAGCCCTTTTACAGGCATAGGAACCTCGATCGTAACATCACGTCATTCACACATTGTAAAGATAACAACGCTTATTTGATGATTCTCTTCACAATCTTAGTTCTAATTTGGCGGATTTACCTCCTGTTTCTTTCTCATCTTGATCTTTCCGCCGAGCTTTAATCGCAGCGTCTAAGGGATTCTCTACAGCGTTGGGAGAGCTGGGTCTACTGCCGGGATCTAAAAAAAAAAAAAAAAAACAGAAAAGAATGAAAAAGAGAGAGAGAGCGAAAGAAAAAGAAAACAATCAGTGTTTCATAACTAATGGCATCGGTGACTTTCGAGATGCCGGTGCTTTGGCCTACTAAACGTTCTACACACTGAAGCTAGGACTTGCGCATGATAATGAGTTCGAAAATTCTCGTTAAAAATGATGTTCATTAATTTTCATGGAAGGGATAGAATGTATCAAGACCTACTACAGATTCACTGCATAACTGCTAGTTTTAAAGAAATGTATATATAAAAAGATTTTAAACATCGCCCACGTCCTGATTGTACCTCCAAGCTCTTCTAATTCTTTCCTCTTCTTCTCACTCTCATCCAGCGCCTCTTTTGTTTCCATTAATTCCTGTGTAGTAATCGCCAGTTGATGTTGGATTTTCTCCACTGATTCCCCAGACGTTTCACCTGATCCAACCACAATACCACTGTCTCCACTGACACCTGAAGACACTGAACGAGGGGTTGACGTGACAATTCCCTGCCCACGGTTTCCTGAGGTTCCTGGTTCGGTTGAGGAGCCGGCGAAAGGGGCGTGGACCTGCGCCTGTGTCGTCAAGCTGGTTACACTCGACTTCCTTATTTCATCTGCCAATAGCGCGTCGGCTAACTCCTCTGTCAATAACAGCAGATATTCAAGAAAGTAATTAATACCGACTGCACGTAACATAGATAACGGATAACGGATAATCTTTATTTGTACTCAGATTCATACTTGCGCTAAGCAAAAATGTTACAAAATTTAAAGAAATTATTAGAAAAAAATTGGAGTACTAGCAGCCTGGAATAATCATAGGGGCTAGCGGAGCCAGGCAGATGTCCAGGCCCCGGTTGTTCGAAGGGTAGATAACGCTATCTAATTGGTAAATCTCTATCCGGTGGATTACGCGGTATGTTCTGTTGGCACTCGTCCGGTGGATTGCGATTTATCCCTTTGATAGTGTTATCTGCCATTTAAACGGCCGGGGCCTTGTTTGGCCTCGCTACATCATAAGTCTAAAGCGATCCGATTGTGTTGTTGACTTTGGCCCAGTGAATTTACTGGCCTGCTTAACAAACAGCTCTACGAAATACCCGTGAGATAGCCAACACGATAGAAAAAGCTCCCGCATTTTACAAATTAAACTCTAGGGCTACCCCCCCCTACCAACCAACTGCCACCCCTCGAAAAGAACACTCCCGTCCCGTAGACTTTCACTGTGTCATACATTGTAACGTAATCTTCATCTCATATAAAAGTTATTAAACCTTACCAAGGCCTCCGGGATCCAGTTCCGCGTCGTCATCATCATCCCATCCGGAATCAGGAGTGCCATTTCTGGATCTAACCTCCCGCACTGGCACGGTATCCAAATCTGACCCTATGAAATATCAACAATTATAATTGTGTCCGAAAGTACCTCTGAAATTCCTCGACAGCAACTCCTTTCTTCGGATGCCTTATCTCAAAGACTAGAAATAATCGTCTTATGCTTGAAGTTGCAGTTTACACCAAAAAGAGTGTTCATTTCGTTACGAATGCTTTCAAAGTTCCATAGAATAATATTGTGATAGTTTTAACATCAATGCACAGATGCTGTGTAAAGGTGGTGAGGTCAATCAAGAAGGGTTGCACCTACCATAACCAAATCCTGGGCTATGTCGTCCTCTGACTGCGCCAGATGATGGCCAATCACCATAAGGCTCCTCTGATCGAACTAACAAAAGAAAAAGATTAGCTCAAGTAAGTGCAAAGCCAAAAGCTCTCATGATACAAATGTTGATGCAAAGTTGTTAAGAAAACACATCCTAGGTAAAATTTTGACAAATTGCAGGAAAAATAGGGTTAGGGGCAAGAAACTGCTATGAAACAGTATTCATGGAGCAGGGGGGGGAGGAAACTAAGGTAAGGTCTGACAGTTCAAGGCAGTTAGCACATGCTTTCTGTACCTGCTCCTGGCATTGTTGTTCGAGTTCTTGGTGCGTCTACAAGCCGTCTGGCTTGTACTCTGTACAGTACATCCACAACATCATCACTGTTAGTGTTCAGACTAGGTACAACACCAGCTAAAACAATAAGAAAGTTCTCCAAGTAAGTTCTTTAGCATCTTTTGTTCAGAGGAAAGTTTACCTGGTTACTCAAAACAAAAAGGTTCAATTTAATAAGTGAAGGCAGCTTTGAAATGTATGACATTGATTGAAATATTGTACAAATTAGACTCCCTACAGGTAAATGGCTGAGGAGAAAATCTCCTCTAAAACAAGAAAGACAATTTGTCTCATTTTGTAGAGCAAGCAATGTAAACAAAACATGAAGGCACTGTCAGGACAGCTGACGATATGACAGTGATTTCACATTCAGAATGCACTGGCAGGAAACCTTTAGAGGCCTACAAATCAAGATGCCTTTCCACTTGTAAAGCCATACACTCTAGTCTGTTATATAAATGCAAAGGTAAGTTTTTCAATTGCAACGTAAAGTCTGTACACTTTAAATAGAAGACTTTTACATACTGTCCATTTTCCTAGAGATCATTCTTGCAGCAGCTCTATCAAATGCTTGTTGTTCAGCCTCAGGCAGAAGCTCACTCAGGTAATGTAACATCTGCAGCTTTGCTCCATCATCAAGAACAGGTTCCAGTGCATTGATCAGTCTCTGTACATTTCTTAGGATAAGAAATAAATCATTAGGTATTAATCCTTTACCCAGAGCATGCCCTTAGACCCCCTTTCTTTAATTGGATATAAATTACAGGCAAATGAAACAAATCATTATAAAACGATGGACATGACAGTTTTCTCAATAGTTACCTGTCTTTACTGTACTGATCAAGGCTCTGCTTCAAAACAAGTTGCTCACCACGTGTAAGTAAACGACTCATCTGTAGGATGGCGAAACACAATCAAACTTTGTCAATATGATCATAAATACCAAAAGTCAAAAGTTATGTTTTGTCCATGGGGTGTCTAAACAAAGAAAGTGATAAAAAAAGTGCTGACCCAATGAGCAGCTCTAAGAATATATTAGAAGATTCAGATAAAAAATTCTAAAGTAGAGTACCTGTATTTTGAACTGGCGCGAAAGTGATTGCAAGTCACTTCTGGTATACCCTGTTCCATTTATGAAGAGATCACTTCTGATCGAGAATGCCTTGGATGTTCTTGAAGAACACCTTGACACAGTTGCAGGTCTCTCATTTTCAAATGTCACTGATAGCTGCGAAGACTTGCTGGATGATGGCAGAGATGACAGTGACGACTGATGCTTTAGTGCACTCATAGGGCGCCACTGAACTAACAGGCTTGGTTTTGAACCACTTCCTTTTAACAGTTGCACCACATGTTGATGTGACTTTCCTCTGTAGAAAACAAAAGAATATATTTAAATGACTTAAATAATGCAACTTTGTATTGACTGTTTTGAATTGACTCAACTTTCAGTCAAAAATCTTAATTTTTGCTTTGTACAAACCATGTACTATGGTTGGTAATGTTCACAGCAAAATTGGAGAAAAATAAAATTATTTATACTATTGCCAAAGTTTGAAGAGGAATAACCTGCCAATTTTTTACCACTCTAAACATCAAGCTTTTGACTTATGGTTGAAAAAAAAAAAAAGAATTTCACATCTTAGAGAGTTTACCATAGTGAGATATTAAGTAACAATCACAATTTGTAAGCTGCACCACCAGTAAGGTACAGTGTGTAAGTACAGTGTAGTGTAGGGTGTATGTAAGATAATTCACTTGTCAAGGTACAGTGTGTAAGTACAGTGTAGTGTAGGGTGTATGTAAGATAATTCACTTGTCAAGGTACAGTGTGTAAGTACAGTGTAGTGTAGGGTGTATGTAAGATAATTCACTTGTCAAGGTACAGTGTGTAAGTAC